TGGGGAGTGACGCTCCCACCAGCCTCACCCCTTCCTCCGGGCAGGAGCCACTCCCCCACCTCTTCCTCAAGAAACCTCCAGCCGAGGTGGGAGGAGCCTCCCCTGCATAGGCTGCTCCACGACCTCTGACCCGTCCCTGCCTGTGCCCCCTCAGGAGCCCCACCCTCTGGGAGGGTCCTCAGCTTGTGTCCCTACCTCTGTGTTCTGGCCCCGCCTTCACTTGCCCTCGCTCGCTCGCTCCCCATAGACTGCTCCGTCCCCCACAGCCAAGTCCTCCCCCTCTCCTGAGACCCCTCCTCACCCCTGCCACCCACTCAGGGCACCTCCTCGCAGCCTGCCTGCTGCCCAGCCTGCGGGTCCTCCCAGCCTGCCTGCTGCCCAACACTTGGCAGGAACCATGCCCCGTTCTCACCACGACTCACTTCCAGGCCCTTCTGCGGTGCCCCCTCTTCTGCCCGTTCCTCTCTCGCCCACCTGAGTGGTACGGCGCACTTCGTCTTTCCTGAACAGCCCTCTGCGCCGGCTCTGGGCCTCCTGACGGGGCACAGGGGTCTCCGCTCGGCCGGGTCAGTACAGGGTCCCCTCCTTCCTTCTCTCATCCCCACTCACACGGCACCCTTCGCCCCTGAGTGGCCCCTGCTCCTGGTCCTCACAGCACCTCCTGCTGCCTCTGAGGGGCCTCAGGTAAGTGTCCAGGGGAGTGTGGCCGAGGACAAGGCGCACCATGACCAAGTGATGAGGCTCGTTACTGAAAATAAAGCAGCGAAGAGGTTCCTCCTCGTCCCCCTCCACACGCCAGTGCACAGCCGCTCGGATGGACGGCGGCGCTCTGCACAGACCCATTGGGGCTGCCTCCCGCGTCGCGGGTCCCCTGCAGGCCGGGGCCTGAGGCTCCGAGGGGAGGTGGTTGGCCGGGAGCAAGAGCTCCCCGAGTGACAGGGAGAGGCTGCTTTACCTCAGGGGGCACAGGAGGGTCAGAGTGACAGTCTGACCACAGAGAGTGGGTGTGGGAGAGAGGGGGACAGAAACGTGTGGCCTCAGTCCTGCCGCCAGAGCAGCCACTTGTCCTGGGAGCTCCGAGCACAACTCCACGAAAGTGGGACACACGTGTTTTGAGCACTGCAGTGCCCGAGGCCTGGACAGGCCTATAGCACATAGTACGTGCTTCATAAGCTGCATGAGACACTCGGCACGCGAACCTCCTGTTGGCTGCACTGACCTGCTCAAGGCACTGAGCCTACCCCTGCCTTCGGGCCAAAAGCACCGCCGAAGGGAGACGTGAGCCAGCGGGGCAGCAAGTGGACCCCCCGGTGGCCAAGCGGAGGGCCTCCCCTCAGCCTCCTGCGGCCTCAGGGCGCCACTGCCCTGACAGGGAGGGAGACGCAGTCAGGGCCCCCACAGAAACCTCCCGTTAGCTACCTCCCAGGAGGGGCACTGCGGGACGGCTCAGGCCTGCCCCTCCACTCGGCCCGCGCACGCCGGTGTCTCGCTCTGAGCTGCGTCGTTGTCTTGAATGAACAAAGGGAATTGATGTAGAATTTGGGCAAAGCCCTGGAGAGTCGCGTCTGGGACCGTGTGCGAGGCGAACGTTGTCCCGCCCTGGCCACCTCCCCACCACCGGCATCGGCAGGGCCCTGACCGGCCTCGGAGGACCCGGGAGACTGCCCAGGACAACTCATTGCTGTGCGTACTTCCAAAGTTGTGGGTGTGAGGACAGTTTATGGGCCCGTAGAGGGTCATCGAGTCCAGGTAGGACTGGGGCCGTGAGGGGGTCGCCTCTTGAGCCGGCGGGCCTGCCGCCTGTCCCGCTGCAGGAGGGAGACGGCCTCACCTTCCTGACGCTGCGCTGGGCGCATGGGCACGTGGCGTCGGCATCCTGTGCGGATGCTCTTATCCACACACACCCTCTCGCATGTGGGTTCAGGTCACAGAAGGGGACAGGCCCGTGTGGGAGAAGCCTTTATGGTCTGGTTGCCCCAGGAATCACATGGGGGTGGGGCTTGGCACAGGGCCTGGTCTCGCCCTGGGTGTAAGGACCACGTAATGGACAAGAGGAAGGGCCACTGTGTGACCAGGTGAGGGGAGGGTGCTCTGGATCTGGAGCTACAGCCCTTGGTTAGTAGGATTGGGTAGGACGGTGTCTCAGCGTCCCCACGGCACCCGGGCATCCAGGCATCCCGCCCTGCCCAGTGCAGGCGCTGTGTCTCGGGCAGGCAGTGGGCCCACCTCTGAGAGCCCCTCCACGGGGCTTCCTTTCCGGTCAGACAGGCCACAGCTGCGCAGAGGGGTGGCGGAGGCCTGAGGCCATGCGTGGAATTCAGGAAAAAGTGGGAATGCTGGCAGGATGCGTTCCTCACACCCTCGGCCCAAGGCCCCGAGCAGCGCTGTGGCCCCCGGGTGAAGCCGGATGCGTTGGGTCTAGTGGCCGGTGCACCAGTCATCTCCCAGGTCCACTTTAAGCCCCATATCCCTGACTCCCTCCCACCCCACAGGGTCTCCTGTGGAGCCCAAGGCTGTCCGTTGTCCTTGTGTTTTCTGTGTTGATTGTTACGGCCAAAGGTGATCCTGAGTGGGGGGGGGGGGGGGAAAGGATTGAGAAAAGACAGACAAGAGAATGAAAGCTGGGTCTCGGTGGGACGCTGCTCCCTGATGAGGAGACAGCACCAGCGCCCACAAGCCGTGTCTTTATTTTATAGCAGATGCCACGAGGCAAAGTAGGGGCGTGATCATGTTGTTTACAGCATTCTCGTGAGTTTCAACCTCACTCAACTACATGCACCCGAACTCTAGCACAAGGCACATGGGGCCACGTGTTCGGACCATAGGTTCAAGCTTACAACTACAGCTGTTGGCTATAATTGTGCTGGAAGGGCCCTGCCCTTCAGCTGGGACTTGCACGTGGCAATGAGAGGACCCTGTCCTTTCATTAGTCCGAGGCTTGAACCTGACCAAAACACCGTAACCGCGCCCCATAGTTGATCTCGTGGGAATAGCCTCAGTCCTCGGCCTCCGTGCCCACCGTGGGGTACGTAGGTGTGCTCAGTGCACATTTGGTAGATTGAATTCATTTCTTCACTCTTGGCAGAATTCCCGGCTGGGGGTGGTGCATTCATTCTGTAGGCCTTTACTTAGAACTGAGCGATGGATGAGTAAACCAACCAACCGGTCTACACACAAATCTCTGTTGAGCCCTGAGCGCAGCCCCGCAGGAGGTTCGCTGAGAGCGGCACGGACGTGTGCGCTACTGGGAGGTGACAGACAGCACACAGGGACTGTGAGAGCGCAGCGTGACCCCTGGGACACGGGCGGGAAGTGAGGTGACTTGTTCCACTGTGCGGGGAGGGAGCTGCCTCAGGAGTGCCCGGCCTCCTGCAGGCGAGGGTGCGGGCCCGTCTGCTGCTGCTCATCGCCTTGTTCTTCGCTGGCCTCGGTGGGAGGCGCTGTGGAGGCAAGAGCAAGAAGAGCCGCGGACAGGAACGATGGCTGCGCCGAGCTCCGTGGCTGCGTCTCCCGGCCCTGAGTCGCCTGGACGCCCGCTTTGGGGACAGGCACTGCCGCGCTGCATTTCCTCCTGGGTGGCCGGACGTGCCGTCCTCATACCCAGGTACGCGTAACAAGTGTGTGTACCTGCGCCCACACGGACATCTGTCCCTGGGTGATGGGACCAGTCCCTCCCTGGCCTTTGTTGGCTGCTGGGGAGGCGGGGCCCTGAGAGACCACCGGGCTGAGGAGGAGCCAGGCTCAAGCCTCCAGCCTCCGTGGCCTCGATGCCTCTTCGCACCACCTTGCCGCTGAGGAGCTGGGGGAGAGAGCGGGGCCACAGCCTGGGCGCTCTGAGCACAGGGCATGGCCCTGGGTCGGGCACTGGCTGGGGATGGCGCGAGCTCTGGTGATGGTGACTTTGCCCTGAAGGTCTGTGCTGACCTCCCTCCACGGGAATAGGGAGGTCTCACTGCCTTGGAAGCAAAAGGGTAACTGTCAGTGGGTAGGGGGAGGGTAGGGAGAGAGAGGGGCAGACTCCGGGAAGCCTCGCTGCAGCCCGCCCTGTGGGAGGGAGGGCCAGGTCCTCCCAGGGGACGGGGCCCAGGACCAGCTGGCAGCCTCGCAGACCTTGGGCCTGAAGGCCAGCAGGTGACGTCACTGGGGAAATCTCCTGAGTCGGAGAGAATGAAAGCCTGGGAGTGTGTGGGTGTCAGTCCGCGGCTGCCGCCCACTGGGCGAGAGGAAGCTCCCTGGAGCTCCTGGCGGGAAGGTGTGGGGTGCAGTTGGTCCCGGAGAGCAGGGGCGGTGCCAGTGGGACGCGAGGGAGAACCTGTCACAGCTGTGAACTTAGCCCCCGAGAGGGAGAGGCTGGCGGGACGAGGGCGGGTTGCCGGGTCTCACTAGGCTTTGAACCAGCTGGGGGCTTACTCCTCACGCTGGCGCGCAGCAGGACAGTGTAATAAGTGAGACATCCGTGTGGCCTTCCCCGAGGAGCCGCAGGACCGCTCCAGCGCCCGCCTTCCTCGCCGGCAGCCTGTCCCAGTCGCTCCGCCCAGAGCCCAGGCTTCTTTCCAGCCACGTGCGGGCGGGTCTGCAGAGCGCAGCCCGAGAGGTGAGCGGTGCCCCGACAGTGGTTCCCTCGCCTGTGAAGTGCGGACGCCCGGCTCATGGCTCACCACCCTTTCCTCGTGCCAGACGCAGCCAGGGCCCCGGGGGTGCAGGCGGCAGAGCCTGCAGGACTTCTGCCGAAGGAACCAGCTCGGGTGTCAGAGCAGGGGCACCGTGGCACCGCGGTGGGACACGGCATCTAACGGTCAGAGTGAAGGCGGGGCCTGGAGGAGTGGCGACAGGCAGCCGCTGCTGCTGGGC